AGTTTGATCCCCATAACCCACAAATATCAAAGGAGAGAAATGACCCCTGAAAGCTGTTCTCTGACTTCCAATGTATGCCATAGCATTTACCTACATAGACACACATGCACAAAATAATAAATAAACAAGAAAGCATAGATGATAGGAAATCTATATTTATAGGACTTTAAAGTGTCATTTTAGTCCATAGACAAGAATTGAGAGAGGGGCTGAGGAGATGGCTCAGTGGGTAAAGGAGGCTTGCTGCCAAGACTGATTATGTGAGTTCAGTCCCCAGGACTCACATGATGGAAGAGGTTGTCATTTCATCTCTAAATCCACACATACAAATAAAAATAATAAAAGTTTATTCTCATAAAAATGAAGTCAGGGAGAATGCATAACTATATATACATACTTTTTTTTTTTTTTTACTTTTGAGGCAGGGAATAACCATGCATCTTTGACTGATTTGGTGCTTATTATGTATACCAGGCTGGCTTGAATTCAGAGATTCACTGGCTTTGACCTCTAGAGTGCTGGGATTAAAGCTATTCACCACCACAGCTGACCACATTTTGTGTGTTCTTAGTGAAAACATGTGTGTACAGTTTTTATAATGCATGTTGAATCACACAGAATTTACTGAGTGTATGTTATCAGCCAAGTGCTTTGGTGGGGCTTTGGGATTTGTCTTTATGAAATCTCACATCCTTTTTGGGATGCCTTTGATTTCTTAGTTCTGGAGTGGACCTGCAGCACCAAAGAGGGATCTAAAGATTCAATATCTCAAAGCCCACAACCCCCTAAAACTTTGTGTTTTCTGAGGATTAGTTGTTGCCTTTTGATTGGGAGTCAGACATATTTGAATTGGAATCTATCACTCGTAAACACTATAGCATAGGATAAATGAACCTTCCTTTGCCTCAGCAATCTTACACAATCAGCTTATTTAATAAATTGTATAATAAATCTTATATATAAAACACAAGTATCTGATATTCTGTGTTTGCTTTGGTGTGAGTTCTGAGCAAGAGACATGAGACCTGAATGTCATCATTGGAGAATGGTTTTACTGAAACAATATTGGGAACAAGACAGAGTTGGAGGGAGCCCTACAGAATTAAGCTTGGTTTTGGGAGATGGTTCATTTTCTAAATGCTAGCTGAGCAAGTCTGAGGATATGAGTTCAACTCTCCAGAACCAAGGTACAGAAAGGTGTGGTGTGGACTCTAAGCCCAGTACAGAGTGCAAATTTGTACAGTCACTTTGGAAATCAACATAGTGGTTTCTCAGAAAATTGGAAATCAATCTACCTCAAGACCCAGCTATAACCACTCCTGGGCATATGCCCAAGGGACAAACAATCATACCAAAAGGACACTTGCTCAGCTATGTTAATGGCAGCTTTATTTGTAACAGCCAGAAACTGGAGACAACATAGATATCCCTCAAACTAAGAATGGATAAAGAAACTGTGGCACATTTATACAATGGAGTATTACTCAGCTGTTAAAAACAATGACATCTTGAAATTTGCAGGCAAATGGATGGAACTAGAAAAAGTCATCCTGAGTGAGGTAACCCAGACTCAGAAATACAAACCTGATATGTACTCACTTATAAGTGGATATTAACTGTAAAGTAAAGCATACCCATTCTATAATCCACAGACCCAGAGAAGATAACTAACAAAGAGGGCTCAAGTGGGCAGGGGGAAATCTTCTGGGATGGGTCATAGAATAGACATTATGGGTGGAATTGGGGGTGGGGGTATGAGAAGAGGAAAGATCAAGTGGAGGAAGGATGGAGGTAGAGTGTCCTCAGAGAGACAACTGGAATTTGGGGGCATCTCAGGACAAACTAGAAACCTAGTGCAATGGAAATTTCCAAGAATCTGAGAAGGTGACCCTACGAGTAGGGCATACAGGCCATCTCCTGTAACCAGGCATGACTTCCAGTGGAGGGCTGGGACACCAAACCAGCCACATAACCTTCAACCTACAATTTGTCCTGCCTACTAGATGTGCTGGGGTATAGGTGGTGCAGAAACTGTGGGAGTGACCAAGTAGTAACTGGTCCAGCTTGAGACCCATACCACAAGAGAGAGCCCACCCCTGACCCTGCCTGCAGGGACCCAGAGGCTGGATTGCCCAGAGAACTAGGATAGAACCAAACATGATTGGCAAAAAAATTAATGAAATGGTTCCTAATGATATTCTGCTCTACTCATAGATTGATGTCTAATCCAATTGCCATCATAGAGGCTTCATCCAGGAACTGATGTAAACAGATGCAGAGACCCACCCCCAAACATTATGCAGACTTATCCTTCAGAAGAGGGTCAGGAAGGATTGTAGGAGCCAGTGGGTAGGGACACCACAAGAGAACCAAATATTCTGGCCTCATAGGGGTTCACAGAGACTGAACCAACTGAACTGGCCCTCTGCATAAAATTTACTTTTGAGTAGCTTGGTTTTCTTTTGAGACTCATAACAGTGGAAGCTGGGCCTGACTCTGAACTCTTTTGCTCTCTTTTGGGACCCTTTCCCTCATACTGGGTTGCCTTGGCCAGCCTTCATCTTGATATGCCATGTTTGGTTGAAATCCATGGGAGGCCTACCCTGCTCTGAAGAGAAGTAGAGGAGGAGTGGATGGAGAGGGTTGAGGGGAGCTGGGAGGGAAGGGATTGGGAAGAGAAGAAGGAGGGGTAGTTGTGATCGGGTTGTAAAAAATACTAAAAAGGCAAAGTAAAATCATAAAACACACACACACACACACACACACACACACACACACACACACACACACACACACGCCCCGCCTGCAGGGCTTCAATGGGTTCTCGACCACCCTAAGGAGGGAATGTAGGGACAGGAGATACAAAGGAAAGACACCAAGTCTGGATTCTGATCAAGGTGCACTTTATTTCTCTTCTACAAAGGTTTATATAGCTCCACAGGGTTGGGGGGGAGCAAGAAGCTGTCATCTGCATAAGGTGGGGCAAGCTAACAGGATGTTTGTAATGGATGTTTACAGGGTGAGAGGGTCAAGGGCTCTGACTCAATGTCCTGTTGCTAGGCAACCTGACTGTAAGATGATCTAGTTCTCCGTCTTATTGGGGGTCTGTATTTTTCCACTAACTAGAGATTTTGTCCTTGTCCCTGACATCTCCCCCTTCTTAGTAATAATCTAAGGGCCAACATAAACCAGGATTCTAATGGTCTAAAAGGAGGGCTCTGAAAGATGCTTTGCGTGGAGGATTACAGAGGCCCTATCCCTCTAAAG